TAAGTTTCAAGAACTAATTTAGCTGATTTACAGTGTTGGGGGACCAAATGACTGATAATTGTTTTGATTCTTTGATCCATAAAATGTCTGCAAATAATTGAGTGTGCAAGAATTGGTCCAAATAATCTGCAACCAAGAAAACTAGGGAATATTCGCAAATGATTAACTAGAAGAACTACTATAAGTTAACGTTCCCGTTCTAGAGATGACAAGTTTTAATTTTAACGTTCTAACAAACATTAATCGGACTAATTTCTACTTTAACTTCAAGTTTGGCAGATTGGAACGCGTCACAGTACTTCTGGACCAATCAGAGGACGACACCAAAACTTCGCTGTCTAATCAGAACATTACAACAGTCAAAGAACACACCCCGAACTTCCTCGTAGCCTTGTTAGCACGGTTTTCATTGTAAATTATTCCCACTTGTTAAAATATGACTACGGTCCTTATTTTAAAGGTTTAATAGTTAATCAACTGTCTGTTGTCTCTTTTAGAATCACTATTCATCTTGAAGCACACGTTAGAATAGAGCTAATTGCTGTTAACGTTGAATTGAGTGGGACGTTCACGCCTCTAGCTAACATGCTAGCGATCGGTCCTTAGCTTTAACAAACAGTCTATTTCACATCACAGATTCGATTAATATCAGAAGACAAACAGCGACGCAGCTCGCATTTTAAACGGAGAATTAACGTGAAGGGCTTCCTACTCGAGATGCATTCACGCCGTTGTAAGCAGCTACGTTAACGTCACACCGAAAGAAAGAAATAGGAGCTAACGTTAGCCATAACTAGCTCATTAACGGGTGCGTACAGTCAAAAAGCTCAAATGCTAATTACGAAGCGTGAACAAACTCACCAAGGGGCAAAGAATTCCACAAGAGCGAGTCCGTGGTCTCCGATCCTGGCATTGAAGTCATCATCCGTGTAGTCAAGCACGTCACTGGCCCAGGCGAAGCCGGTGAGAGCGGCCAAGAAGATCACCTTAAACATCTTTTTTTTTAGCTTCAAGTTTTATTAAATTTGGGTTAGAAAAATGTAAAAGTTTGAATTGCAAATCCGTGGCAGCCCTCCTCCTCGGCGTCGTGAAGGATGGGAGCTCCTCGGACTGGGCCAAACGCAGACTACTCGACAGAGAAAGGGCTGAGGAGGATGCAGGCGGTAAGAGCTGAGAGTGTGGGGACCTCTCCTAGCCACAGTGTGGCAGCCTCCCATTGGCCCACCCGTCGCGTCAATCTGCCCCGACCAGCCAATGAGAAGCTCGTGGGAGAGACAGTGTCGTCTCAGAGCCCAATTGCAATTGGACAGCGTGAAAACTCCTGTATTCCACGCAGAGGGAGGTGGATGCGTGACGTCACGACTGCTAACCACTGTTAATGTGTGAATTTGGTCAGAAATTAAAACTTGGTTTGTGGAAGTTAATGGACATTGTAGGATTATGGGGGGGGGGTATCAATGATTCAATTAAACTGGAAGCAAGATGGAAACGAAAGTTCAGAACCCTATCAATTTATTAATTTTATTGGGGAAATGTCACATGTAAAGCCAGGTTTTTGAGGTGAAATGATGCACACTAAGTAACGTGCTCATGAAGTTATTATGCCCAAGACATTATTTTAAAGAAATGTAATTAAAGCAAATGTACCCTGTAAATACCGATAGCTTCATTCATTTAATTATTCCAAAACATGACGATAAAAGTTAAAAATTGATTATGATTCCTCTCAAATTCCATGTAAACCATTACCCAACTTTATTTTATACATGCAGGAAAAACTGTGGATTTCCTATGTTGGTCTTGAGGCTGCAACTTGCAATCTCCTGTTCAATCTGTTGATTATTTTCCAGATAAATCCTAATATATTGTGATCTGATATGAGTTCACCTAACCACCATCTCCCTTCATTCAGTTCTGTTTTGAGATCTTCCTTAGTGCACACCGCCAGCAGAACTGTTAACCACTTGTATCAGCTCTTAAGTTCTGGCGTATAAATCTTCCGTGTTCGTTAACTAAGTACAACATGTGCTCAGGTGTCAGAGCAAAGGTCAAACACGATGATCAGCATGTGGATCTGCAGGTCTCGAAAGTCTTTGTGCCACGTATACCTGGTGTGGAATAACTAATCCCCCTGGATTAAGTGTGCTGAGTTCATTATGATTTATCAAAAATAAAATAAAAACGTCTTTGTCAATTGCAGTTGTAAAATCAGCAACAATCAAATACCCACTGAACCAAAGGTAAGGAAACACAAACGCTCTCCTCGTGTTGCAGACAAGAGCACGTTTGTCCGATTAAAGGCAGGAATCAGTTGATTTTTGCACAATTTATGTACACATTCAAAGAGTCTTGCATTGGGCCTTTTATTTCTTCAGGCCCTTTCTTTTAGAGGGCTTTGTTATCAAAATCTAGTAAATAGCAATATTATTTTTGTTTATGTTCTGATCCTAAGGGGCAAATACCTGGATAAATGGAGATGGACTGGTTATGTAGTTTGTCGGACTATAAATGTCTGGTGCTGGACATTTTCCTTTTTTATAAAGCTGCAGGTATAATATCATGGCAGCAGAGGGAGCTCTCTGACAGCACAGAGTAGAATCCCTGGAAAACAAAACACTGTTATTGGTCAGGTATGACATCCTTTGTGTGGCCATCATCACTTTTGCATGGGAATCATGTTTCTGCTCTTCGGACTCCAGGTGTACTGGAAATATGCACCAACAATATTGTAAATGTTAAAGTAATTCGAAGTCACCACATCAAAAATGATCTTGCCATCTTTACAGAGGACCTTTAGAAGTGAAACGCAATCTTGAGTTTTAAATCACCTTTTTGCTGCTGTTCAAAGAGCCGTCTGAGCTTTTCAGTTTTCTAGATAGTATCCCATTGATACAATATAACAAACCAGATGCCAAGAATCACTCATATGAGATAAAGAAAGAGCGACAACTCAGATTAGTTTGTGCTGAACTTAAGACAATGCTCATCACAACTAAATACTGAAATATGACCTTTTAGTAAAGTCTTTATATCATATTGTGCATCTGTTACGATCCAATTTCACACTCTGAACTGTAAACCACATTACAGCATCACGTATGCACTGATGGATCCAAATGACTCTCCACTGTGCACATCTGAAAACAGTTTGTCAGTCATTGTAAACTCCTCCTGAGCTTCCTGAGCAGAACCGTTCCTTTTAGAGACACCGCGGGAAAAAAAATCCCTCATCCGTGAGGCTCGGGCTTGCAGCTGCGCAGACTGTGAGCGGGCTGAGGTATCAATCCTCTCCAGCAGAGCGGGGCTTCTTGCAGCCAGCGTTTACAGTAAACTCACAGCTGAGACGGAAAGGATTTCAGGGGACAAACAAGGTCAGCGGGGCTGCGAACGGCACTGCACTCCTCAGCAATTTAGGAAACATCTGTACTGTCTCAAGGACACCAACGCTCTCCCTATCACCTTGACAGAATCGTTATTTTCTACAGCAGTGTTATGTCATCATTATTCTACCAGCGTTTTATCCCGGAAGCCTGTTCTATATGCGAGTCTGGTTCTGCTGTCTTCTTCTGCTCTGCAGAGATTTGTTTTCTTTGCGGGTCCACAAAGCCGCTCTCCTCCCAAATCCTCGCCCCAGTTGCCACGGCAACCTGCTTGCTCCTCAGCCCTATCTGGGACGAGGAGGAGGAGGAGAGAAGAGTTCTGCAGCGTTGCTCTCGTGACAGGTGAGGGAGCCAGACGGAGGGAGGCTGAATACAGGCCATCAGGAAGAAACAGATTCCTCACAACACACAAACACCCGACGTCACCACAGAACACTGGACGCCTTGTTGTCCCACAACACCGGAGACCATAAAAATGTATTCTTTCATTCGATGGGACAAAGCTCTTGTTAGATTCTCCCCGCAGTGCAGAAAACACACAAGCGTCTCTGCAGACGCTTTGAGACCAAAGAAGGACACATATTTGAGTTGGTATTCACTGTCGCGTGCAGACGGCATGTCAGCGTGTTATTGCATGCTGCGGTCGGGGGTTCACAGTTAGTTCTTATAGTTACTAATATTGGAGCTTCAAGAACAGGTCTGGCAAGATTCTATATTTTAGATATTGTCAAAACATCTGATGAAAATCTACAAAACTAACAAAGATTAATTTTGTTTGGCAATTTTCTTCCAGTTCCACCAGCGCGTCTTTGACACAATAGTTCCTACTGAAGAACTCTGAAAAAAAGATGTAATTCAATTCAAGAAAATAAGTAGCAGGGTTATAGATCTACAGATGTTTAATCTGCTTGAATCATTGGCTTGTTAAATGCTTAAGAAATGTCATTCAGTTTCTCCAGTGAGGGTTTTCATTTTGTTGATATTATTATAGTTATGATAATAACTTCCTAAATAAAGGCATTCAATTGTCCCATTTTGAAGGCCGGAGACGTTTGCATGCTTGCTTGGCTGAAAAAATCAATCAATTATGAAATCGTTAACTGGACTAATCGATAATTGTTGCAGTGCTAAAGGCCGAATGATTTTTTTCCAAATCCGGGACTCAGTAAAGTTGTAGAGTTTGTTCCAGTAGGTATGTTCATGTTGATGAAGGAACAAGTCCCCCAGTGCAGCCTTGTTGGTCGTTGATGTGTCTGTCGGGAGAACGATGGACCACAGAAGAGACGAATGACTTTGGTTCATTGTTGGTTTTGGTCTGTTTGTGTGATTTTGTGATTGCAAACAAGCTTGTAGAAAATCACCTGCTTTGCTCTTGGCTCTCTGGTGAATCTACCAGATGTTTACACAAGAGTACCAGCCTTTTCGGCATAGTACAGATTTATTATGCTTTTAACTGTCACATGACACTGGCAGCCAGGCTGATCGCAATCACGCTTGGTTACCATGGTTACCTAAAGCTCAGGATTCATGCTACGGCAAAATCCTCCTGGATACCAAAGAAGGACATCTGGTTAATGTGGAAACAGGAAAATAAAAGAAAAAGGAGACTCACAGAGGAGCAACTGTTAAATAGATGATTTCTTTAATAAAAGACATTACAGTATGACGTTCACGATGAGCTAGATGGTATTGCTTCAGTAGCTTACAGTACTTAACCCGGCCCGGCCCGTGTGTGTGTGTGTGCTGTAATAACATTCCATTTTTGACCAGTGTGTCAGCAGACATACAAACGCTCTGGAGAACACAGCGTCTCCTCAGCGTCACGCTGCTAATCTACATTCAAATCCACTGGAAATTGTAAAGAGAAGCTAGAGAGTGGAGCGCAAATCGATGGACGACACAAGCACTAGATAGTAGGAATGAAGCAATCACCACACAGGAATGAGGGGAAGAGCCAGTCTGAGGATAGGACATGCAGGAAGGGGCTCGAGGCGAGGGTCAAGTTGGGTTCGGGGGGCTGAGGAGTGCTTTGGGAGTAGAGCCAAAGAAACCGTTTGACCATGTTGTGTCCTTTGTTAACGTTCGCTGACATTTTAGAGCACCGTTTGAGATTAAAGCCGTTCAAATGCAACTTAACCACAATAAAGCCAAAGGGAGTATTCTGGGTCTCTGGTTCGGTTTAGCCAGATAGACTGATGCATACAAGATATGTAGAGTATGGTTTATAGAGGTATACAGTGGGGCAGGGAGGACGGATTAGGTAAGTAGTGGTAATAAAGGAGGCAATGAAATAGATATTTATAATATCTATGGGCACAGAGCGGGGAGTTTATGCACGCATATGTGCCCAGAGGGTTGAGGGGTCAGTGTCTACTTGAATTGCTTAAGGGGTGGGGGCACCTTGATGTCCTGGCCTTTCTCCAGTCTCTTCTCACACTCGATCAGGTAGTTGACGCCATCGACCACTGTCTGCACCAGATGGACCTGAGACACGGGGCACATCACATATCAGCACCGTTATTCATTTAGCACCGTATACTGGAGTTGTGAAGTCTGAGGCGACTTCACCGCGTTTCACACCAAACTAGACTGAGGGGAGAGTTCTGCAGCCCGGCTGTAAACTATCATGAAAACATCTTCCATGTTTTTCCAGGATTCTGTCTCTGCTCGCGTCAACTTTGCTTATTCCTGCATGTATGAACTGGTTGACTCCCCCTGATGGAGTGCTCCTCTCCAGAGGGGTCATCAGTCTGGAGGACGAAGAGCTAAGCAGCTGCGAGCAGCCCACGCTCTCGTCCAAACAGAAGTGGGTTCTGGAGTCAGACGGCCGCAGCGCTTCGTGTATTCAGAGTGATTCAAGGCTATTTTGGGAATGATTCCTCTTCAGCATTTCCAACATATGTTAGGATTTTAAGAATATTTTTGTGTAGCTCATAAACCTATGAAATCCTGGATATATTTTTGCACAGAAGGAATGAGGAGTCTGCATTTACCGTAACTTTAAGATTTTCATTCGTTCACTGCATTCCACACAGAAACAGGCAGTCTCCATGTGATGAGAATAAACACGCTCACTACAATAGGGAACAGCCCTGTTGTAGTGTCATGTCTGTCATGTGTGAGAGCATTAAAAAGAACAGAACAACAAAGAACATGTGCCAGTCTGGACAACAACTCTCCTCTCTTCCCAGAGACGTTATGAAGGCAACACCCGTCTCTCTCTTTAGCGTCATAGATGAGTTGCTATTTGAGCTCAACAAAAGCAAACTTGTCGACACAGTGATGCAATAATTGTCCAGATTGAGTCCGATGCGTCTCCACACAGCCATGCTGGACAGATTGTCTCGTTTTGTGCGTTTTCTTACCTCAGACAATCCTAGGCGGTCCAGATTGGAGATGTCGAAGATTCCGCCCACGGCGGCGGTGTCCACGCCGCCAGTCCCTCGTTTCTGCAGACGCAGGTTGTCCAGGATCTTATTGAGGCGGGGATCCTGGGGGGTGTAGGAGAGAAGAGTTATTCTTTGCAGCTTAAAAAGCACTTTAATCACTATATCACTCAATGTACAATGTCAATTTTTAAGATCACAACCACGAACACGACCAGTACGAGTTTGGAAACTCTAATTCGCTGGAGAAACAGTTGCACAACATAATTTTCAAAGTTTAGGAAAACCGAGAGCAAAACACTCAACAAGATCACAACTCTTTGCTGTTCTGCTCCAAAATGGTGGAACGAGCTCTCTTCACACCTCTTCAGACTCTACCGCGACTAAAAAGACTAATAAATTGTAGCACTTAAATTGTACTTTGCTGGCTCTTATCTATAGAAAGTTGTAAATCTGCATATTTGATGAAATTGCACTTTCCTGTTTCTTGTTCTTCCGAGTTTGTATCCTTGTGGTTGAAATGCACTTATTGTAAGTCGCTTTGGATAAAAGTGTCAGCTTAATGTCATGTTATGTAATGTAATGCAATGTAACATACTCCGTCATCCACGTGTATATATATCCGTACCTTGCTCAGCAGGGGCAGCTTGACGTGGACCCCGGCCCGGAGCCCTGTGCCCAGGTTGGAGGGACAGGTGAGGATGTAACCGAGCCTCTCGTTCCACATAAACTCCCAGCCTTTCTCCTGGATCAGATGCTCCACCTTAGAGACAGAGAGAGAATCAGTGGCAACACAGCGAGTGTGTGTGTTTTCATACAATCTGGGTGCGTTGGATGGATATATGGTATTTTTGTTAGTTTCAGAGCTGATAAGCTTTTTTCTTTTTCTGTTAATCTCTCATCTTAAACAGCTAACACACACATAGACAAACACAGCTTTACCTCCTTGAGGCCTTTGCAGAACCTCTCAAAGACTCTCTTCATGTTCCCGCCCTTCTCCATGGAAATGACCCTGGTGTGATCCTCCTCATTGACCCAGACAAGGAACGTCTTCTCGTTGTTGTGCCTGCACCCAGAGCGGTTGTATCGGTGTTAACAGTATCCATTGTTGTGTGTGAGGGTTATTTGCCCCCTCATAGCTGGGCGGGAACCCACCGAGGGGTAATTGAATCTGATGCACTCATGTTGTATTACTGAGTATGATGCTTGTTTCTGCAGAAGGTCAATGAGTGTTGGGTTTCTAGGACTGGTCTGGAAGGGCTTTTACATCCTTGTAATGTTGTGACGGTTTCCAACAGATTGCAGATTAAAGCGGTTTGATGGAAAACGACAAACATGTACGGATCAGGGGTAACAGAGAATAAATATATGACAGGCAATACATGCATAAGCCACTTTCCATAGAATGATGGAGCTCCATGGAAAGGGATGTCAAAAACTGGACAAACTGGAGTACATCGACATTGGCTGAACACAAGTATTTTTGGTCCGCACTGACCTTTTTAAAATTGTGAGAGATTTAATAAGGTAACGGATACGGCAGGTTGAGTAGAGGAAGAGAGAGCGGTTTGAAGGGAATACAGCCGTGATCCTTGAATGACAGCGGAAAAGAGCAAGAGGAGTAAAACTAAAAAAAGGACTGTAAGGAGTTGGAGGGTGATAGGCGAAAATGAGAGAAAGTGGAGCGTGACATGAGGGATGTGAAAAAAATGAAAGGGGAGAGGAGAAAAATGGAGCCAGAAAGAAGAGAAGCTGGAGGGGGGAAGGGAAGGTGAATTATTAAGAGGAGGGGGGGCTCATATGGCTGGCAGACGGACAGACGAGGGAGGCTGCCGATGGATTCTGGCTCGCTTACACTTTCCATCTGGCTATTCCTGGGTACCCAAACTCATGGCTGAGGGAGCATTGTCAGCATCGCTAATACACCTTTGCCACGGCTCGGTCACGAGGGAAGTGGCTCTACTGGTGCAACCAGGCATTGAAAAGAGCATAAAGGCCCAAAAAACAGGCATAACAAAACAAAAGAATTTGAATTTGAAAAGATATCACTTACCAGATTCCACGGGCATCAGGCCAATCACGTGCCATGCCTGCGCACGTCAGGAGGGGGGACACAGGTTTGTCGAACAAGAAGTGGTCCTATCAAGAGAACAGACAACTTATACTCAAGTGGCACCAATGGCAGAATTACATTGGACATTTTCATCACCGGGAGACAGAAACAACAGTGTGGACTGAACACCCTTTTCTGATGACAATCTTCAGCTTCTTTTTTTGTAATCAGTTTCTTGTGAAATAAAACAAAAACTGCAACTGTCCACTTAGCAAATAGTGACTGAATAATGTGCGCATCTCCCTCCAGCATCACTCACGTCGATGAGCTGCTGCTGCTCCTGGTCCGTCATCTGAGTGAGGCTGTAGTACTTCCCCTGCAGGTCGTCCTTCAGGCCGGCGAGGGCGTCCACCACCACCCTCTCCACCTCCCTGCGCTCCGCCCGGGTGCAGGCGGGGGGCAGGCTCAACCCTCGGATGCTGCGGCCCGTTCTCACCCTGGACGACAGCACGTAACGCGGGTCGAAGTTGGCCGAGTGGATCTGAAAGAGAAGCGGGAGGGGCGACGTTTCTAAAAATATTCAGCACGTCACTGAGGTGAGTTCTGAGGCGCGGGGGGCCCTCGGGAGGACTACCTTGCTGGCGTCCAGGTCGGTGGGGTGCTTCATAGTGCGGGGGTCGTAGCCGTTGTGCCTTTCTTTGATGACGGGGTCCAGCAGGTCCCCAAATACCTGGAAGGGACACAGAAGGCATGAAGACATGTTCCGTACTAACGGGATTTAACTCTTTTTACATTTCTCTGATTATTTCTACATTCGGCAAACATATGCGTATCAAAACGTTCTCTCTAATTAAATCTCATCTTCCTCGACGAGGTCACAAGAGATCTGTGTTATTCTATAGTCCAGTATTTAAATCTATACATTTCACAAGAAGGATTATCACATCCCTTTGTTTATTAACCAGTAGCAGTAAAAACCACATATGATCAAATTAAGAAAAAACACCCACACATGTTAAAGGGAGATCCGATATTGCAACACATTGTATGATGATGAACATTAGCGAAAATATTTTTTAAATGACCCTCCCTCGGCTCTGGCGCAACGCTCCTTCCTGTGAAACAGCACAAGGAGGACGGGAGGCTTCATTCCTTTAGCTGCAGCACCGATCCTTTCTGAGGACTGTTTTCACCTCTGATGGACGGTAAAAGGAAGCAGCGTTGAAGCCCGGGGAGGAGGGAGGGGGTTACGTGTTCCCCCTGCTACGCGATACACCCAGAGAGTGCAGTGTTCGAATAGTAATAACAGACTGACCTCGTAGGACTCCTCGTCTCCCGCCACCATGCCGACGGTCTTGATGAAGGGGTGCCCCGGGTTGTCCACGCCCGTCTGGATGGCCAGGTCCAGCGTGTACCCGTTGGGAGTAGCCTTATCGCACAGCTTGGCGTAGATGGCGGGTGTCAGGTGGCTGGCCATGCAGTTGTTGTGTTTGCGTAGGTCAGGGTACTCCGCACTGCACAAATACAATCTCAAGATAATATATTGCCACATTGGTCTCGGAGAGTGAGAAAAGGCTGTTTTAGCTGCGTGGGTAGTTAACTAACTGGAGTTGTGCCCTTGTTGCAGGTGCAGAACGACTTATTTACTCAAGGACACTTCCGAGTGGCACGTACGCGGTTACTATGGTTTCAACCTGCTTCCTTATGGCCATGGCCCCCCCCACTGCAAGACGTGCCTCCGGATTTTATTACATAAGAGGATAAAGTGGTGATCACCTGGATGTTATAAATACCAGCAACATTATATTTTGAAGACGGCTGATTCTTATGGTTTAAGGCAGAACAATGCTAAATTGATAGGAGGAAAAGCCACTGTCCACAAGATGTTAAAAACGCCAACATTTAATGCTGATGGAGAAGAAAACCTTTAGATGTATGATAAGAAGAGCAACGACTAACTCAATCCCAATAGAAAATTAATTATTAAGACTGGCTTTCATCCAAACTAAATGGTTTCCTATGGCCAAGAATGAATTTGGGTTTGGCTTGACAAAGAATACAAATGCAGCTAATGAGTTCCTGTTTCCTCTGTCCTCCGTCTGGCAGAAGATAAGGTGTAAGACTGCGTTCATAACTCCAGTTGCACAACGTGCTGCTGAAGGTTTGGTTAAACATAAATGACCTTTATAGAACAAAGGTTGGATATTAGCACCATGCAGCAGCCAGACACTGGTCGCTTTCATTTCTGTTCTAATCCATTGATGTCTTTCATTACACCTCCAAAGCCAGAAAAACACAAATGTGTACCATCCACACTGAATGTGCTCCATTGATGTGCACAATGTGTGTTGTGCTATTTAAATTGCAGGATCTAATAACGCCAAAGAGCTGCTTGTTCAGGGTCCCAAATCGATGGATTTATTGCTGTCTTTCCACCAATGTGGCTGCAGTTATTAATCAAAAATGTACCTTCTTTTAGTCCTTTTACAACTTATGCTTTTTACATTCTGATTCACCTCACACGTCTTCATATTTTCCTTAACATTGCACTGCTTTTTAAATATTAACAATATTTATTAGGGCGTATCCTGCTGGTACGATGTGAGATTAAGATTATGGCTGCTATTTATGTCAATAAAGCTCGATAAGAAAAAGGCACCAACGGCTGCTGGAGCGACCGAGGCGACCTGCTCAGACAAAGGCGACGCCTCTGCAGCGTCACGTTTACCCCGGTCCTCCTTCACACATGTGAAGGACGTGTTACGATTTTAAAAACACAATTCATACGGTTTCCCCGACCCCAAAAACCGTCTATATGTGTTATTTGGGTTGTAAACTTGCTTTAACTGTTTTTGACCCAGCAAGGTTAGCGTTACTTAATGTTAGATTTTTACACCCGGGCCCATGCGCCCCGTTAAAACACAATTACGGTTAATTTGCGTCAATTATTCGACCGTATTATTTCCCCAGAACTTCTTAATGAATTCCCGTAATGACTCAGTGTGTGTGTTATCTTTAATATTAACATATATTGGTATCGTATAATGGAAGCCATGTACCTGGCGGGGTAGCTCCTGCGTACCGGCGCTCCGCCGCTGACGCGTTCCCGCTGGAACAGCATTCCGGCCGTTAGGGAGCCCCCGACGAACGACAGCACCCCAATTCTCTGCTTGGAGGACAACATTCTCGAGAAGCTGCTCGCCATTTTTCTTGTAGGTGTCCGTAGAGGTGTTGTTGAAAAAAAATAAAGAAATAAAGTCTTATTTCCAGTGTCGCAGGGAGGGGAGTGACAGGTGGATGGAGGAGTGAAGCGCCTCTGTTGGAATGACAGAGGAGGAGAACCGTTAAACCCGAGTGACGTCAAGACGCACGGTGAAACACAGGACGTGACCGGAAGAAAAGGTTTAGCTTCAAAGTAAAAGACCAACACGATTTCAATTAGTGACCTGTTCATTGAGCATTTCCTTGTTCGGCTACATCATTTCATTTATTTGCCAGCCATTGTTACCCGGGACTATACAGCTTCACGTGATCATCCTATGAAGAATGAGGAACTGCTATAGATCAAGTTTGCTTCAACTTGAGCAGCAGCACGATTAAGATATTTACTCGTGGATACTTCAGTAAAAAATACTTCATTGATGTTCTATATAATAGTAACAATCGCCTTCTCGCCCTGCAGGTCTCCGTGGATCGGACCCTGGTCCTGACTCCTGCCCCGCGGACACCTACCGCTTCGAACACCATTGACATTCCTATTGCTGTAAACATTAATGAGCATCACTACATTTTGGGGTAGTTTTTCCAGTGCCGATGTCAGGGTTTCGGGACAGAGGATGTCGCATGTGTACAGATTGTAAAGCCCTCTGAGGCGTGTAATTTGCGATTTCGGCCTATACAAAATAAAATGAATGTGTAAAATGTACAAAGATAAAGAAACCTAAATAAAAATGATATTTACAATAGATCATTCATATAATTTAATAGTCTAGTGATTACTCGGGATTTTACTCTGAAATGTCCTTTGTACCGGAAGTTACGTATCTCATTGTATCTATCTTTCCAGTTGCCAGATTACTTATGCGAATCCCCAAGGACGTCAGTGCGTTAGGGACTGGGTTACAAGGACAAGAGGGATTTATTTTGAACCATTGTTCTTCTCATATTTATTTGTATTCTTTTAAAAGTTGGCGCGCAAGGCAGACACGAACATCACAGTTTGATTTGGCCCCACGTCCCTTTTGAGTAGCCCCAACATTGGTTTCACTGCGCAGCATGACAGGAAGCTGGCTGATCTGGCTGGCTGATTTGAATTTCTCCGGGCGCACTTCTTTCAACTAATTGCTCCCAGAGATTGAACTTGATTGACTTCAAATCCGGTCATTATGAACTTGAGAATGTGGCAGTGGAAAGTCAAACGATCTAAAGGTTATCACACTACGTGTTCAAAGAAAATCAGAAAGACATTGATTATGCTTAACTGTGACGATTGTAAGAATCCGTCAAAAGGCGGCGCTTCATTGGATCTCGATCCTTCACCGTGAAGCGATAAACTGATTTTAGTCGACTACACACGGTCAGATCCCTTGAGACTCAAGCCCTGAAGACATCAGCAGGCCAAATCGGAGTTAAAGTCCCCTTCTGTTAACAGGAAGTGAAAGTCTCAATACCATGGCCTGCTTCTCGTAGTACCTTTGACTTGCATGCAGAGGGTTATTGCATGAGGACTTGCATGTCAATATGAACTGATTGTCATTCCACTTACTGGCAACAGTGACTGTACTGTGAAGGATTCATGGGCACGCCATCGGAAAAAAAAATGCTTTGTGACGGCAACATTAATGATTCATTTGAATGAATTGTGCAAGTGCGCTATAACATATGTGCTATGTGCAGTTGGAGACCTGAGACCTCGACAGCTTCTCCCTCAGTCTCTCAAACGGTTTCATAACTCAGGGCCTGAGCTCCTTCTGGAGGATCATTCAGTAATCTGGGGATGAAAGAGGAAATAGTGGGCGTAGTCAGATCAAAGTCTGCATACAAAAATATGGATTTGAACCGGAGCTGTAATGACTAATGATCTTGTGAGTAATACCACACAAAATTCAAAAGAACTCCTGCCAGAAACAACAAGCAGTTCTGTTGAAATACGTGAAATCTAATTCCTGTTCAGAGCATTATCATGAAGCTTATCGCCAGCCATTAAAACATAATCATTATATAACGGCCTGCTAGAAGCACAAAAGGTTTATACCTCTCGAGAACCGACCTTTGAACACAAGTATGAATAAGGACTCTTAGTATTTGCTGGTAGCTGATAAACGTCACACAGAACTGCATTACATGTTTTACCTGATTCGTCACATATTAAAAAACAAGTACATATTAAAGCCTTTAGGGTGAAATTAAAAAAGCATTTTCATTAACTTAAGAAAACTGATATTTATTTACAATTGGGTAACATAAGATATTTACAATCTGAATCAAACATTAGGCTCTTACCTTCCACTTAAAAACAGGATTATGTCAAAAACAAATTAATAAATAAAAATGAATAGTATTCATTATCAACATTGATCTACCAGCTATCCATCAATCTATCAACTTGATCTCAAATTAGCTTATTAGAATTTTGAAAAACAACACGTCTGCGAAGGCCGTTCGAGTGGTGCTCGAACTCGAGCCACAAATGAACGACATCTTTCCGATCTGCCATCAAACGAGGCTGAGAGAAGGATCTTCTCTCTTGAGGCTCAGGGAAGCAGCCTCTTCCTGCTGTAGGTCTTCTCCCCCGTGTTAGAACGCCTGATTGGCCGTCTGAAGGGAGAGCGCTCCACCCCGTCGGCCTCCATCTTCCTCCCTGACGACGCCTCGTCTGTAGTTTAGGAGAGAGGGAGGAGGAAGTCAGGTTTTATTGTATTGATCATGTTACAAAATACACAATATGGCCGAGAATACATCGTTAAACACCAAGACGAAATGTGACTAGTAACAGTGATGTCGATCTAAAGAAATAGAATTGGCAACTCTTTAGAATAAAAATTGAAAATAATTATTTTAGTTATCTTTCTAGAAGTAAAACAGAAAATGACAGGATCTGTTTTGGTGAAGCAAAAGACATTTGTTTGGTTGAATGGCCATATTATTTAATCCTTCAAAGAATTATTAATCATTGTTCAATTTGGTTATTCATTTCTAATCAATATTTCAGTTTCCACCTCATGAGGTAGAGCCACGTTTTGTCCATAGTCACCGGTCAGTTTAATGGACCTAGAAATAAAAATTGGTAGTTGCATCCAAATAATGACCTCATTGATTCCTAATTTAATTATTTGTTCTATTAAAGACTCATTTATAAAATGACACGTAATAGTGAAAGGTCTGGCTATTACTGAGGCCACATAAATATTCAACTTTAAAACCAGAATCATATTGCCATACAATATAGAAAGGGAGTATGTGTTTCTCAATTGATTGTAATGAATTAAATATGCAGTAGTACAGTAGACATTTACAGATATTACTGTTCCACCACATAATCACAAAGCATTAAGGAAAATACTTTCGTGCCGGTCTAATGTCTGTTACAGAATAATATGAACGTCTATTTGTGAGATTCAAATCCTTCCGTCGGTTTGCTCAAAATGTGGTTCATAGACGACAATAGTCAAAAATAAAAACACCAGCATTATGAATCTCACCTTTAACATTTGGCGTTCTCTTACTCGAGGAGCCCGTTTTGCCCTCGAACAACAGCGGAGAGTGAGTGAGGGCCAAGATGCCGCTTGCCGTCACAGACTTCCTCACCTTTGAGCTGGGAGTCGCCGCTGCTGTCAGAATGCACAAAACACCTGTGATGAAATTACACTTTTTTTCCTGAAATTCTATGCAGTCATCATCTTATCACAACTTCTGACAATCTGAAGGTACACATAAGACTCCAAAAGCTTTTTAAAGCGCCTTAGCTTACTTGACTGGACGCTTCCAGCGGCCCAGTAGGCGTCTCCTCTCGTCTGCTGAGCCAGCTTCTCTGTCCAGTACGAGTCCTCCAACGGTGTGAGTGGCGATGCGCTCTCTACAGGTGGGGACGACTGTTTGGAGCCCAGAGAAACCACCGCGGCTTTGTTGTTGGAGAGCTCGTCCACGTCCTCGGCGTCCTGCAGACGGCTAACTCCGAGCTCAGCTTCCTCCAGCAGCTCCGCCAGCAGAGGCTCCCCCTTCGGGCCGCGGTCCTTGCCCCCGCCCGCGGCGATCTGAGCTCTCTTCCTGCGAGGCCAGCTGCTGAAGTTGTCCGGGGTCACTTTCCCCGCGCTCTGCGGGGACGGCGTGAGGGGAACGATGTCCGCGGTTGCCAGCGGAGATGTCGTTCCCGCGGGATGGCGGGTGGGGGTGTAAGACTGGCAGATGTAGGTTTGGAATCCTCCGCCTTTTCTGGGCGTGCTCTTGGCTGGGGTGACGTGAGCACAGATGGAAGGCGAGACACATCCTGGGTCTCTGTGCTTGGAAAACAACGCCAAGGGGCTTTCCAGCTGAGACGGTTTCACACAGAGTAAAGGGCTCCGCGCCCCCGATTGGGGGCCTGCGTCCGAGGCCAAATCGCCCCCGCTCGTGGAATTGGTGCGTTTGATTCTGAGCTTGGGGAGTCCCGAAGTCTGCATTTCTAGTTCGACTTGGTAAGACAGAGGGTTCGGAGTGGAGGGGCCGTTGTCCCGACTCGGCCTCGTCGGGCCCCTAGGGGTGGAAAACCGAGGAGGTTCGTTTCCGTACCCCAAACGAGCCGCCGCCTCCCTCTGCCGGCGGTCCGGAGTCTGCCGGAAGCCGTAGGTCCGGCTGGGTGTGCCTGGGGGGGGCACGAGCGATTGAGGAGAGGCTGCGTTGGGCAAGAAGTCACTCGACTTCGAGGGCTTCCGCGAGAAGCTTATGTTCATTCTGATGCCTCCACTTAACTGGGTCTTAACAACGGCGGCATCTACGATGTCCATACTGTCATCGTCCGTGGACGCGGCGTAAAAACACAAAGAGTCATGTTGCTGTGAGTCTGCGGGGGAAATGGAGTCAGAGGTTTCAGGAGGTCCGGCTGGAGCTTCCTCCTTTGCAGCCGACTGCGTGTTCTCCTGCACAAGGTCACCGATGTCATCAGAGTCTGTGTCCAGTTTGGAAGGAACATTCTCACTAGACTTTGATCGTAAGTCGTGTCCGGAGGCGTCGGCAGCTCGACCCGACAGTGTCCTCGTCTCGGAGTTCGCCGAAGCGGCCGACGTTTCTGAAATAGCGTCACGTCCCTCTTGTGTGAACAGCGGCTTACACAGGGAAGCTGCGTTTGAACCTTTGGCCGGAGTTC